TGATGTAAACATTACTCAATCAAGAACACGACCAGGAAGAGTACAATGATATTTGCTGCATAACATAACCGATATCAATGGATATAAACCTGTTTCATTTCCAAAAGTTAGTTGGTTTCAGGCTCTAGACGACGACGTGAGAAATCTTTGTGGCAATCCAGTAGAACTGTGGTGCAGAGGCTATAAGTGGTGCTATGAGAATATTTATATTGTCAAGTTCAAGTGACGAATAATAACAAGTCATATCGAATAAATTCGCTTCATTATATATATCGCGTATCAGTTATCTTGGGATTTGTCAGGGTAGTATACACCTATTTCAAAAAACGTTGTCGGTTGGATATCTGAAATCAGAAATCTGAGACCGATTGGAATTGTGGGGACTGAGTGTTTTCTCCTTCAAAATTTAATATACACTTACCCAGATAGTTTGCCAGCTCAGATCATCGCTCAAAGTTAGTATATCAAGATATTGACTTTTTGCGAACTACTAATTAAAACCACAATCAATTTACAGCTTACAACCCACAATTCCTTTCGGTCTCAAATTTCAGATCTCCGACTGACGTTTTTAAAAAATAGGTGTATATCGGTTATCGTAAATCTGGTTCATATCGAAACTCTTTTCTCCTAAACGATCTTTGCTTGTTCTTGCAGAGAATACTGCTTATAAAGTAGCTGAATTTAAGCATGGGTAGTTAAATAAAATTCCCGTATTAGCGCCATGGAATTTGAAAATCTTCTCTTGGTTTTATTTACCTTCGCCTGTAGGTAAAGAAGTCGAAGGAGATTATCTGCTCGCAATATAGGAACTAGCTCTGGCCAATCAGAGTTCGCGTAAGAATTACTCTAGCCAATCAGAAATCGCTTCTTATTTCGGGTCACGGGAACAAGGATTCTGGCGCTGTTTCGCAGACGGTTATTTCGAGGAAATTATACAGGCTAAACGCAGGCTAGTCCGGTATCCGGCTTAGGGTATTGTGTGAAGCTTGCGATGTCAGACTTTTTTTGACAAAAAATCAAAACATAATGGCTTTCGTGATCTGAACGTTTACCGCTGATTTATGGCATAATTCTACTTAAGTAAACATTGAGTTTACGTGCTATTCAAAACACTCCTAATGATATGCAAAGATGAAAAAACTTACCAAGGGCAGATCCAGGGGGAGGGTCGGGGGGGGTCGCGACCCCCCTGTCATTCCTGAGGTCAAATGGGCTCCCTGTGGTAAAAATGCGACTGGGATTCCTTTGCCCACAAAATTTACCCCTGAGACCCCCCTTYAAAAAAACCCTGGATCCGCCCTTGCTTACAATATCACTTTGTTATTGGTTTAATGCACATATGCACGTGAAGGACGCTAACTGAATGTCTATAAATAGAAAATGGACCAAGGATACTCCCTTCTTGACTAGTGGAACGGTTACTGTTTAGTGGAACGGCCCACCCGCCCTCCCTCCAGATTGTCGTGGGTCGTATTCACCTGACCAACCCTAAGCCAAGCTGTTTCCAGCTTGGCTTAGAACGCTGATCAAAAGTTTTCCCATTCCTTAATTCAGCTGAGCATGAATGGGAGTGTTGTAGAATAGAATACTTTTGTAAATCAACATTAAATCCAATTAAACCTGGAAATTACTATGGAAATTAAATTGATTTTACTCGTAATTAACTTCCAAAGTTACCATCAAATTTAAGATTAAAAGCAATGTAATTAAATCTGAAATCTACTTCAGCTTAAAAAACATATTAGCATCCGAGGTAACTCTAAACTTGTTTTCTAATGGATTATCGGTAGTTATCTTTTTGTTTTTCAAGTAATTAACCGGGAATTCAAAACCTATAAAAAATGTCGGCCATGGAAAACTTTGCCGAACGATTTTTCATAAACCAAACTAGCCCCTGGGGGTGGTTGGTGGTGGGTTGTGTGCATGTGACAAAATTTCTAAGAGGGGGTGGGGTAGTAAGGTCGAAAACAAAAACTCGTGCAAAGGAAAAGATGTAGTGCATTTCAATTTGATTTTTTCACTTTATGTTTTTCATTTTGGGGGACATTAACTTCATCTCGAACTAAAAAAATAATTATTAAAGATTTTCTTCCCGATTATATTTTCACATATCTGTTTTATCTAAATTGGGCTCCCTGTGCCCATTGTAAGCTCCTTTTAGGCGTGCCTTCATTTATATATTATGCTTTCGCGACGCCGCATTCTAGATATACACGGCAAAGCTAAAAAGTTTTTATTTTGTGTCCTGCTGGCCTTGTTACAAAAAATCCGCTATTCGTAGCTATATATTTGCTCGCCCTTTTCACGCAACAAATTACTCCCACATGACACGAGTGAAAAACGTATGCGCAATTAGTATGCAAATTAGTCAAAACATAAGCAAATTTGACTTTCAAACATGCCTGATAAATTTGACTTCACAAAATGCCAAAACTTAGTGTCCATGCTTGAAACTTAAGACTAATTCTTTCATATTGTGTTTGTTAATACAGTATCTTGGTCTGACAAAGGTATACTCGCGAAAATTTTTGTACACTTGGAGAAAACAAACATTTATTTTGTCACTCAAACTCTTCAAAATTCTTAGGCCCCGTCCACACTATGCCGGATAAATTTGAATCCGAATTTTTATTTATTTGGTTAGGCCTACCGTCCACACTAGTCCGGGCGAATCCGGAACAATTCTTCACCGAAAACGAATTTTTTCGAATACGGTCTCCAGAGTGGAACAATTTCAAAACGCCGGCTAGCCGTATTAGTGTGGACGGTGAACATTTCGTATCCGAAATGTTTCGAATACGATGACGTCATGATTGTCATGGGAACATGGCGGGAAGGCTAAAAATTCCCCGCGGGCTCAATTTCAGCTTCGATGCACATGCTCAGATGTGCAATGAAGCGTTTTTGCCGCCTCTGATCGGACTAGTGTGGACGCGAAACATTTTATCCGTTTTCATGTGTGGACGGAAAACTTTTTTTTCGGTTTCGGTGTGAAAGTTGCGGATCCAAATTTTTCCGGCATAGTGTGGACGGGGCCTAAGAAAACGTGCTGAAGTGCACGCATGAGCAAACGTTTTTCCCTGGTGTCCTCCCACATAGGATAACAAATCAATGTTTTTTAGCGATTTTACCTCTTTAGCATGAAAAAAACAAAAAACAAACTTGTACGTCATTACTGTTGCTAAGAAAGACAAAAAAAAAAAAAAAACCGGTCTTACGAAGGCAACTAAAATGTGCGCGTTCTGATTGGTTAGAGCGACTTGTAGGCGGAATGAGTTGTATAGCGGTGCACCGTGCCGCTTGCTTCACAGCAGGTTTGTGTAGGATCATCTTTAAATCATTGACCTTCAAAAACATACCAAAATATATATGTATAGTTTTTAAATTTTCCTTACGCAAAAATCGAAATTTCAATTTACTGTTTTTGGATCTTTTCTCTAAATAATGACTATCTAGGCAAAAACCAGAAGTGAATTCAGTTAATTCAACTATTCACGAGGTAAAAAACCACCGTACTTTTTGAGTTAAATGTACGCTATTGGATGTATTTTACAAGAGAAAATGCATGACATAACCGGGGTCAAGCTTGAAAATCGTCTCTCCTTGAAATAAACTTGACAGAAGCTGTTAAAAAAACAGAAGTGGATTTGAAAACCCCGGGCTTTCCTGAACATTTTAGTGTATAATTCATAGGAATTTGTTAAAGTTTAGAACCGTATTTTTGCTGATTTTATAAGCTCATACTATCTGTTGGCCTATACATTCGCCTCTTATGGTTTCTTAGGTTTCGTAGCCTCGAAAACACGCTAAGTACTTGTTAGTTAGTGAAAGAACAGAAGATTTACGGGTCATTTAGGATGTTTTGTCACGCAGTTTACTACTTGTGCTATATAACTTTACTTTTAAGGACAACCTTTTGGTTTGGAAAGAGAGGAAAAAGACCGAAAAGAGCAAATATTCCAAATGTATGGGCAATTTTTTCAAATGCAGAGAAAGATTAAAACTTTTAGACCCACGCATATCCTAAATAGAATACCAAGACCTAAACATTTTTATCCTTATTATCCCTTTTTAAAGACTGCTCCCCATTTTTAACATTTTGTATCAAAAAAGGTAAGATAAATAAACTTTGCATTATAATAAAAAAATGGAAAAAATGAAATAAAGAAATAAGAAGATGGAGAAAAATAAAACGGGGAACAACGTAAAAACGAAAAAGAAAACGCTTCGTTTGAAATTTTTAACTTGTTATCATCATCATCATTATTATCATCTATTGCTGTCGTGGGTCAGCTGTCGTAAGATTTTGTAAAGTAATTCCTTTGCATTAGCAAACTATTTGTAGGGGATTTACATTTCTTCTTTTGGTCTGCAACTTACATGTATAAAGATTATATTATAAATAATATAAATATAATTTACTTTGGGTTGATGTTTCGTTTCAGCACGTTTCACGCGCTTTGATTAAAATTGACAATTGTCTCAGTATCGATCTCTCGAAAATTCTGTAACAGAAAAACACGTTTTAGGCTATTGATTGACTCAACCCTGTTATTCCAAGGTCACCGTTTGAAATTAGCCTTTGAATAGAGCTAATCTTTCTTTCAAAGAAATGTTTTGATAACTCATACCGTAAGCAATTTTCTTAAGTGTAAGCGGTAACACTTAGTCCGTCACGTGATCTGAAATTGTATTTTTAGTTATTTTGGTAGACACGATTTGAATTTCTTCGATTCATAGATATCATGTCATGTCATAATTAATCATTTTGAAACAACATTTAGCCAATAATCTTTATGCCCCCATTCTATTTGATTGCTATAACGATGACGATGATGAGAATGGCTTGCTAAATTAAATAGAATAAATTCTAGGAATATTACAATTTGAGAACAGTGTGTCGCGAACTCCAATGAGTCATTCTAGCAAATTAGAATAAAACTTCACAATTTCTCCATTAAAAATTTAAAAAACTTAGACCCCCACTACCGCAAAGATATAGCTTTCGAAAGATCGATTTGTGTTGAAAAACACTAGTTTTAGCTTTGGTTAGATGTGCAATGGCTCATCAGCCTTAGCTTAACGTCTTAGTTACCATGGATCTTAACATTTTTGTCTTTTTTGGAATTTTTCTTTACGACAATTTTTCTACAGAAGGTAAAAAAGTTACTCCTGATGGAGTTGTGCACGAGGCATTTAAAGCAGATGCTTTTCGTCGAATCACAACTCACCTCATCGAGACTCACATAGTCAACAAACTTGGCTCGTGTGCCTTTAGATGTTCTAAACACCTTGAATGTGTGTCTTTTAACTTTGGGAATCGTATGAATGGCAAACACGGCTGTCAGTTACTAAGAACAGATAAGTACAACTCAGGATCTTCCTACGTTACCGACACAGACTTCCACTATTTCTACCCCGTGGTAAGTGTTGTAACTTTTGAAAATGCTGAACCTATTTTTTCTGAAATAGAAAAAGAAAAAAAGTTAGGGAATAAGATAAAGTTACTTTTCAAACCGTATTTAATCGATCTATAGATACCCTGATAATTTCTTTAGAATAGATCCTAAAGAGTTGCATAGATTGAATAAAGAATTCATGCTAAGTACGGCTTTCGATTTTTGTCGTCTACGTGCTTACATGTATCTTGTCCGGTTTTCTTATGAAAACTGTTTATTTTTTAATCCTCAGTAATCTAGATACGCATAAAGTAGAAAAAACTTTTAAAGTTAAGGTTGAAAATGTGAAAAATTTTATAGTTTTTTTAAATTGATACTCAATTGTAATTTGCTGATTTGTATAAATATTAGTCTGCGTGTCCTTTCTTCTTGGTGGATGTAGTCGCACTGTAATTCTGATTACGAATTTCCAATAATAATAATAATAATAATAATAATAATAAT